AAGGCGGCGACGCCACATGTCAAAGGAGGCTGCAACAAGAGCAGAAGCAGGAACAAGCTTGAGGGTTGAAGGAAGGACCGGATATAAATCAGAATGGTTGCTATCACAACATTGTAGCGAGGTACTTGTGCTAAGATCCTTGACAGAGAAACCAAACGGGTCAAACTCGACAGAAACAAAATTATCAGTGCAGAAACGTCTAACATAAATAATATTTTTAGCAATTTTGTTGGAGACAATAATATCTTTTAAGAGGAGCTTATTATTGGAGAAAGGAAAAAAAGATTGACCAACAGTATTAACGATAATAATAGGACAATTTCCAACCATTATGAATTTTAAATTACACCTTGATTAAAGGAGATGTGTGAGCTAGCTCCAGAGTCCATGTAGAAGTGGTTATCCGTAGGTGGTTGCACTGACATTGGCTGGAAAACTGAAGCTAAATTCGTGTAATTTTGATTTTCGAGTTGAGCGACATGTCCACCAAAAGCTGGAATTGTGGGTTGTTGTGAAGACGGCTATTGTGGGGCCTGAAATGCAGCATAATACGGAAAAAAAAGGAGTCGGAAATTATTGAGGAGACGTCCCGTGAAGTGGAACCAAGGGCTGCTGGAAAACAGCAGCAGCAGTAAAGCCACCATGGGGTGGCTATTGTTGATGACCGAGAGATGGCAGACGAACCTTCTGTTGACCGACAACAACATATGGAGTGTCAATATTGTTGTACGCTATCTGCGATAATTCTAAGAGGCCATGATGCATTGAAAAGGTTGGATTGAATGCAGCTTGAGCTCTAAAATGTGTTTGATTATGTACCGGTAAGTTTTAATTTCGTGAATAAGAATTAGAACTAGAAGACATGTTAGTATTATTCCCCCCCCCCCCCCGGAAGCAACCCGCCCATTATTTTTACCCCGTCTGAATTTATTTTTTTATTTTCCATGGGACATGGTTGAAGAGTAAATAGTCGTTAAGGAGGTGAGGGGTGCATCACCAAATGGTTGTGTGTTCTCTTCTCGAGACTCATGAATGAGTAACATGTTCTTTGCTTCAAGGAAAGACGGGAACAACTTTGTGTTGGTAATAACATCAACAATGTTGTGATAGGATTGAGGTAACTAACGAAGTATCTGCATCACCAATTCAACTTCATCAATCTTGGAGTCACAAAACAAACCGCAAGAGCATCAACCATATTTTTGACGTTATGGAAAAACTCAGTAATTGAGGCGGAGCCTTTCTTGGTGTTGCGGAATTTCTCTTGGAGTTTGAGCATACGAGACATCTTGTTGTTAAGAAAAAACTCTTGTAACTTGTCCCAAAGATCCTTGGAGGTATGATCATCACTAGAAATTATTTGGAGGAGCACATGTGGTGTAAAACTAAAATTTAGTTATGGAATCAGTCACATCCCAACCCTCATCATCGTCACCTTGAGGTTTGGATTTACCAGTGATGTGACCATAAACCATAGCACTTTTGCACATATCAGTAAAAAATTTGTGCCACAATTTGTATTTTGACCCATCTATAGACAATTTGAAACTGAATTAGGAGTACACATTGGTTAGAGCAAAAACCAATTGAGCCATTGTGGGCATGATAGTGCTAGAACTTCCGGATGCGGATGTCATAAGTCCCAAGGAAATCAAGAAACAAAAAACAAACAAGATAAAAATAATAGATGGAGAGCTACCCATGGGAAGAGAGAAACAAACGAACTCTTAATTCCAATACTGAGACAACGACATCAGGAAGAATTGTGGGACAGCATGTCAAATACAGTGATGAAACTGGAGCAGTAAGGGACAAGCACGCAGCACGGCATCATGTACATCAACACAATAGAGATGAAGACAAAACTGCAGCAAAACAATAGTGATGTCACGGGAGGACAAAACATGAAAGTTGTGGTGCAAAAAATAGATGGCGGGGGCAACAGTGATCAGATCAGAAAAAAAGGGGGGTGGGGGATTTTCGGTCCAAATAGGGAACAAGGGCTGATCATGGCTAAAAGTTTGTATTGTTGAACAAATTTTTTTCTTTAATTCACACTTTTTGAATAAAAACTAAAAGTTAAAAGTTTTTAAAAATTTTCAAAAACTGTGAACACGCCTCTAATATTGACATGGATTCATTTTTCAAAATTTATTTATAATTCACTAGTTTATTATCCGTGCGAACCACGGTTATAAAATTAATTAAACTTTTATAGTAAAAACTTATAATTATTAATCAATTATTTTAAATAAATTATTAGTTAAGAGATATATCAAAATTCTAAAAGTTATTATAACATCAAATTTAACATATAATTAGAAAATATAAATTTGAATTTTGAAATGAGTTGTCTAATATATCTACATGACATATGACATAATATTAATGAGGAGTTGTATTAGGGTGACACTTGGCAAAAAAAGATTAAAACTATTCATTTATTAGAATAGGGATTAAGATGTATCAACTCTAAAATATGGGATTTTTTAAACTAGACGACAATGTAAATTTATATAAGCCATCGAGCTGTCAAAAAAAGGCAATGGCTATTTTGGTCGCAAAACGTTGTTTTCAAATACGACCTCTTTTTACTCGTTAGTAATGTTGGTTGAAACTAATAACGTTTGTTATTGCTGATAATTATTTCTCTATGTTCTTATGGAAATGCATTTTTTTTTACTTTATTTTTATTAAATTGTGTGTAATTCTCCTTCTTTATATGCATTTCATGTAGGTAATGTGAAACATAAACATGATACAAGCTGTGTGGCAAAGCCCTTGGAGTACATAGATCAATATAGAGATTAAAGACTCAAAAAGCACACCATTTTAATTCGGTTTTAATCAAATTGTTTCATAATGGTATTTATTTGATTTGATAAATATAAGATACCTAATTATAAAAATATATTTTGATGGACATGTGTTTTTATTAGTAACAAAAATATAGCTGTTTGGTTCTTTTGGTATTAGTTGTCATATTTTAACTTTAAAGGTTAACGACAAACTATTTAAATTGTTTACGAAACCTTCCGAATTGAAAAAAATGGTTATTAAAAGGTAAGTTATTTGTAGTTTTGTTGAAAAAAATACGATGTTAACATTTAATCAAGGTGCTAATGTCATAAATGACTAACAAACTAATTAAATTATTCAAATACACTCTCATCCACTTTAAACGCCATTTACTATCACTATCGTCCACCACTCTTCACCACCACCACCCATCATATTTCACCATCACCAACATCGAAAACCATTCTAGATTTAAAAATATCAAATTACCAACTTGGATAGACATGGTTCTTCGCTTCTTCACTACTTCGATGAACATGATTTAAAATCAAACTTACAACAAAAATCATTGCTTTTGGAATGTTGAAGAACTACAAGCATCTCAAATAAAAATCATTGATTCTATAAACCAAAAAATGAGATCAGTGTAACTAATGAATTTGATTTATAGGATTACATTATGACCAACACCAATTTCATTCTAACTCTATACTTTGTGAGAGTGCAACTACTTTTACCAAGTGTATAATGGAAATTCATGAGATTTAGGAGTTAGACATATTATGGTACATGACCTGATCACTCATGAGATCATTCCCGTTGAGTTTGTTAAATGTTCAATCACAACAGAATTTGGTTGATCACTTAACGAAAGAGTTAGATAGGGACTGAGTAAGTAACTTAGCTATCAGGATGGATTTAAGACCCATTTGATATTTAGGAGTGAGATGTCGAATTCCCTTTTAATATAATGTTAGTGGTTGAACTCGGTGTGAATATCTTACTTTTGAAGATTGAAGCATATATGTTTACATATCCCAAAGTATTTTCTTAGACTTGTAATATGAAAGTTGGGATGAATATATTTCTTAATGGTTCTTTTAAAAAAGTGAGTGTACATGTGCTTGAATTAAAAGGACTACTTACATATATGGATGTTAAGTTTGCCCACTTCAAGAAGCTTAAGCTTAGCTTTCTATACACTAATAAATGGATGTGACACATGGCTTGTACTAGTGTTGAAGTATAAACCTTAGAATTTGTGTGTATAATATATTTAGTTGCTCAAATGAGTTGACAAGTTTAATCCTAAACTAGATTCACGAGTATTTGAAATATGTATTATATTAATATGGAAATTCAGTCTTTTAGATAATTTTCATTTATGCATAAGTATGGTATTATGTTAGTTATTTTAATTTAATTAAGGATTTAAATAAAATAAATGTCAGTGGTTTTAGTGTTATCAAGCTACTTAGGGCATGTTTGTGAGAGCTTCTGCATCTTCTTATTGGCTTTTTGGAAAAGCCAGAAATTTGTGGCTTTTTGAAAAGTCGGGTTTTGCCTAAGAAGTTAGTGTTTACCAAACATTTTTTAACTTATTGATTTTTGTTAATAGGTAATTTTAAAAAGCACTCCCAAACACCCTCTTAGTATGATCAAGATTAACTCGAGACATGACGAGTTCAATTTTAGCTATAATGCGAGCTTGGAGGTGCAAAATACATGCTCGTATAAGGTAATTTGATCTCGGGAACATAGGGTACAGAGGCAGTTTCCCTTGTGGGGTTTCAGCGAGCAACGCCCTTAGCAGGATCCATCGGACAAAATCCTTAGCGGCAATCCTGCTAAAACCTAATTAATGTGCTTGTTCTTAACATACACGACTTTTCTATCATAAAACCGGATTTAATTGCTGAGTGCATATATACATGCATGATTCGGTTTTGTAGAACACTTTTGACAAAAAAAAATTAAAAAAACACAATTTTCTTTGCAAAGATATAGCAATTCACAAGTGCTAGTCGGACTGAAAGTTGGCTCTAACTATATGTAACACGTTAATTTTTTATTAACTCCCTCAATACTTCATTGTTGGCCGTGAGATTTTCTTTATATAAGAAATATCATACAAGTTTAATTGCATTATGTATATTTTATTACAGCAATATTGTTTTAGCTTTATGAGTTTCAAAAAAGTTTTATCGGAAATTATTTCCTTCCTTTGCCGAAAACTCATTAAACCCATGAGACTGAGACGAATTACGCTTAGAAATCTCAAATTTCTCGCCATCACCCCACAACGCATATGCACCTTCTCCATGCACCTCCTCATCCCCAATCTCCAACACTTCATCACTTAATCTAAGAGGCATAAAAGCCCTAATCCCAACACAAATCAAGCTAGTTACAACAACATTCCACCCCACCACAAATAATATTCCTAATAACTGAATCCACATTTGATTGAACCCGGCTCGGAACTGGCCCATTTTCAACCCATAAACAAGTCCAACATAATGTTGCCACCCGTCTGTTATGTCGAAGAAAAGACGATTTAGCCTTGGCTCTGCAAAAAAGCCAGTTAGAATGCCACCTAACGACCCCGCCACCGCATGAGTGTGGAAAACTGCCATGGTGTCGTCGATTTGTTTTAGTAGTGAGACTTTCTTGTGTACCACCATCATTGTGAACCATGGTATGCTACCCGATAATATTCCCATTATTATTGCTGCCCAACCTTGCACCACCCCTGTTGGATAAATCCATTAATTTTAGATCCAAACAAATTATTGTATGTATCTTTATTATAAGTGTTACCTGCAGCTGGGGTGATGCATACTAGACCGGTGATCATGCCTTGTGTGGCACCAATAACCGATGGTTTTTCAAAGAACACGATATCCAGCATGAGCCATGTCAGCAAGCTTGTAGCTGCACACACGTGCGTGTTAAGCACTGCGAGAGATGCATCCCTACTTGCCATGTAAGGATCACCTCCGTTGAACCCGGTCCACCCCATCCATAGTAGGCCCGCCCCTAGAAGCATTAACAATATGTTGTTGGGTGGAAACCTCTCCCGATCCTTACTTTCCCTTGGTCCCACCTATATCACCACATCGTAAAATCTCAGAGCATTCACTACAACAAAGCAATCAATTTTGTAGTGATTGAATATGAAGTTATATATACCCAATACGCGGCAGTGAAACCAGCAACTCCAGAAGAAAGATGAATGACATAACCACCGGAATAATCAATAATACCTTTCTTGGCCAACCATCCATCAGGACACCATATACTATACGCACCAACAGTATATGAACACGTCAGCCAAACCGGAACAAACACCATCCACGCATAAAAATTCATCCGCCCCAACAAAGCTCCGGCGATCAAAATCAACGTGATCGCCGCAAAAACAAACTGAAAAAAGATCATCGTAGCATTTGGCAACTTCCCGGAAAATGCCCTTTCGACTAAATAGCTAGCACGTAGTGACGCGATGCTGGGTCTTCCTAAAAAAGGTAGAAACTTTTCTGAACCAAAAGACATCTGGTACCCCCACCCGACCCAACATACTAAGACTGCCGCAAACGCGAAAAGGGCCATGAAACATGAGTTTACGGCCCATTTCTTTTTCACGATGCTGCCGTATAATATGACTAACCCTGGTACGCTTTGGAGGCCGACCATCGTGGCGGCGGTCATTTGCCATGCGTTGTCGCCTTTGCTCATCCATTCCGGGCTCGAATCATTCGGAATGAGATTTGGTGGAAGCTTGAACGACATATTCTTTGAATTTTAGATTAGAGAATCAGAGTTATGTGTTTCGGATTCTAGAGAATATATATAGTTCTGGAAAATGTGAATTTATTAAAATGCCCTGTGTGTGGTGCGTTTTGGATTTTGATATAGGGAAAGAGTAGGGGTGAAAATGGAAATTGGAAGAGCAAGAAAAGCGATAGGAGATATGTTGATTCGAGTGTGAGTTGTTCGGTGTTTCATTTGATGAGAACGGAGACGCCAAAGCCCGAAAGATGTGGATGTATTCATTGTCAATTGTAGGCTAAGAAATCAATGAATCTTTGATACCCTTTGTATAAAATATTGTTTGATGGAAACAAATAGGATACTAATGTTTGTTAAATATGTTAAATGGTATATTGTGGAGTTTTCCAGTGACATAGGGATCCGTAGCTGGAATCTCTAGTTTTATGATTATGTCATCACATGACATAGGGATCCTTAGCTGGAATCTCTAGTTTTATGATTATGTCATCACATTAAAAGTTGCTAAAGATGCATCAACAAACGGACGACAAAACTCCTTAACATAGGGATCGTTATTCGATAGCTGGAATATCCACTTTTATGTCAATACATTAAAGATTCATAAATATGCAAGGACGAAACTTTTGTTACACTATAAACAGAGTGATCAGCATCCAAACAAACCACATGTCTTGAAGTTTAAACTGAAAACCAGACATCATATCATATCATACAAACCAAAATGCAACTCGGACTTGAACCATCTCTCAGGACTCAGATTGGTTGACCTTTGGGGACAATTTGGTCCTTGAGCCACATGTAAATAGGGACCATGGCATAGTAGCCAGCAGCCATCACACCCACAAGAAACCGGGCTAGGAACACAAACGGGTTCACTGGCTTCCTCAACTCCTCTACTTTGGGACCCAACTGCAACCAATAACTTAATTATTTTTAGTGCTATAACTCAGTAGATTTTTCAAAGTTTACTAATTTATGCAACAACCCTTTTCTTTTTTACCAATCTATCCAATATTGTTACAACTCTTTGCCAATATATGCAACATATACAAATTATACAACCATGCTTTAACTGGTAAAATATTTGCATCTTTTGGTCCAAAAAATGAAACGTTTTTGCATAAATTGGCATTACCTGCAACAGTGAATCCCCCGATACGGGTTTGACTCCAGTAACTGAGCAGCCAATGATAAGACCGTGGCAGCGGACCCCACGATACCATTTTGGGCCAATCCTCGTGATCTTAACATCTTTGAATCCAGCCTTTTCAAACCACTCGATGTACTCTTCCTCCTTTGGAAACAGCATAAACATATCTGCAAAGAAACGAGACAACCAATAGGTTGGATATACAGGCCCAATTATACATGCCTTTCCTCCTATCTTTAGAACCCTGTATGCTTCTTTGATGCCTCGTTGCGGGTCCGGCCAGTACTCAATGCTGCAATCAAATAACAACAGACTCATTTGGAAGGAATGGAACTGAAACTGGAGTGAAATGCAATCTCATTCCTTTGTTATTTTCTGCTTGATTTGTAAATATATGAAAGAAATTGGATGTAAATTATGTTAAAGGGAAGAATTTGTATGTGATTAATGATGAAAATTTGGTCTTTTAATAAAAAAGTGTAAATTACATTTTTGGTGCTTGAGTATTAGCTGGGTTTTGCAATTTGGGTCTTTAAAAGTTTTTTCTTGTAATTTTGATCCTTATTTGAGGTTTTTGTAACGGTTTTGATCCATTTTCCAAGTAAAATTACTATATATCTGGGACCAAATTTTTCAAAATCAGTTATACATGGGACCAAAAATAGCGAGCTTACTTAGAGTAGGGACCAACAACGTTACAAGAACCCTAAATAAGGACCAAAATTGACAAAGAAAACCTTTTGGGACCAAAATTGCAAAAGAAAACTTTTTGAAATGAAAATTGCAAAAACCATCTACACCCAAGTGCTAAAATCATATTTCACTCTTAAAAAAAATGAAATTTGGCACTCAATACTGACCATCCACCTTTAGGAATAATAAAATCCCTCATACATGGATTTTGAAGGAATATCCTGGAATTCAGTTCCATATGTTTGGCAATCAAATAAGCTACATGTCATGGAATGGAATTCAAGATTCCATTTCTTTCGGAATCCGGAAAAATCCACGAACCAAACACTCCCTTTAAGTTTCAATCACTTTCCATTGTTTTATGTGTTTGTAAAATTCTGATTATTTAAAGAAGTAAGAGATAAAATCACAGTATAAGAATATTTTCGCTTTACCCTTTGCTAGTATCAAATTGATTATTAGATCCATAAATAACCAAATAATCCAAGTAAAATGATCCAAAATGGCAACCAATAACACAAAATTTAACCATTAGGTCATTGAAGTTTTAATTGTACCCAATTGACTTGCAAACTTTTTTTTGTTCTATTATATCATTGTTACCGGTGATAGCCGGTTACCAACCCATGTGGAGTCCACGTCACCGATTGTGTCCACGTCATCGATGGTATAATAAAATCGAAAAGAAAAGTTTGTTGGTCAATTAGATACAATTATATAAGTTTAGTGATTTAAAAAGCAAATAAAATGTTATTGGTTGCAATTTTATGATATTTTCATAAAAAATATTTAAAAAATTTTAAACACCATTTATATAACCAAAATCTTCGATTTTACCTCAACTTACTTGTCTTAAAAATATTCAGACCATCCATAAGACAATTAAGATCCTTTCAACGAGAATTTTTCATTTTCTTCTAACTTCATTCTTAACTTGTTTGGGAAAAGAAATAATATAATAAACAAAATAATTTTAAATATCTTTGAATATATAATGCTTAAATTGTTAAGTCTTATAAATAGTTATATAGGTTTAACAATGAAGTTAGAAGAAAACGGAAAATTCTAGTTGAAAAAGATTTTAATTGTCTTATGGTTGGTCTGAATATTTTTAAGACAAGTAAGGTGAGGCAAAATCGAAGATTTTTTATATATAAATGATGTTTAAAAGTTTTTTAATATTTTCTATGAAAATGTTATAAAATAGCAACCAATAACATTTTATTTGCTTTTTAAGTCATATCCAATTCACCAATAAACTTTTTCTTTTTGGTTCTATTATACCATCAATTACGTGACATGGACTCTACATGGTTGGTAACCGGCTATCATCGGCATAAATGGTACAATAGAAAAAAAAAAGTTTACTGGTCAATTGGGTGCAATTAAAACTACCTAATGGGAAAATTTTATGTTATTTGTTGCCATTTTAGTATTTTCCCAATAATTTATGCAGAAGTAGGTTAAAAAAATGAGAACGGGAACTTTATATAACAACTTATAGAACGTACATCCAAAAACCCCCAAAAGAAGATAAATTTTGAGAAAATACACCTTCCAGCAGATATATATCTATCTGCATAATCTGTTTTGAAAGGAAGATCCTCAGCATCCCCCTCAATGATCTTGCATTCCTTCAATGGCTCTTTTTGCTTCGCTTTAGCAAGCTGATGTGGCGATTGATCCAAAATGGTAACATTTTTAGCATCAACATGTTTCACAATACCCAAAGTTGTGAAGCCGGTCCCACCACCAACATCCACCACTATCATATCACGGCTATTGAGATCAGCAGGTTCCAAGGCTTCGTCTCTCATGTCTTCAGTATAATGACCCGGGTTGAACACATTATCATATGCAATTGAAAGAAACCTATAAAACCAAAACGCCTCTTTTTTGTGTTGGATGAACCGAGGCTGTGAAGCTGGCCTTGGTACAGACACACTGCACTTGGGTACAATTAGCCTCTTACTTATACCTCTCAGATTCGAATTCCCGCTGGCCAAATTAATTTTGAGGAATGATTTTTTCCCATGCAAATCTGAACCGTTAAACCCTAACCCGTTTGGGTATGCTCTTCCTCTTATAATCGCGAGATTCTCAGCTCCATACAGCATTGAAGAAGCCATTATTGCTCAACAAACAAAAAAACAGATAAGGAAAACTTGTGATTTTATGCTCAAACCACCAATTTCAATATTTGAACGAGGCCCTGGAGGCAAAAACTTGTAAATGTGAGTTCATATTCACAAATTTGACGAATTTAACAAAAACCCAGATGGAAAAACTAGTAATTTCGAGTTTAAACTAAAAAGACTCAAGATCTACACAATACCCAGGTGGGAAATTGATTAAAACCCTGATCTTGTAAGGGGTTTAATTCAAGTTAGTTGCATTCAGAACGGGATATTTGGGTTCGTGACAATTTGAAGAAATTTAAGAAAAGGGACTTAGCAGTTGAGTTAAATCACGATTGATGATGAATGATCGAAAACAATTGATGAATGACAAAAAAGAAAAGCAGAACTTGTGGTGAGGAGAGTGGGAAGTTGTAGTCGGTGTTGGAGAGGAACAGGAGTATACAGTCGCAGAACTGGTGAAGGGTGATAAGGCTATGGGTCAGTATGGAGTACCGACAGGGGAAATAATGCACAGCAGGAAGGGTGAGGTGGACTGTGGGGGAGTCAGTGTGCCCAGTATTAAATTCGCGGGAGAAACGAATTGATGTGGTGAATGCATTATCAATTATCAAATCAAAAATATATGGAGTAAATTTAGAAATGGTCCCTTTGGTTTGGTCCATTTTATGTGTTTGGTCCAACCTAAAGATTGATAGTAATCATGGTTTGAAGAAATTACATTACTGGTCCAGTTATGATACCATTTTTTTTTTTTTTTTTTTTTAAACAGAATTTTAAATCATAAAAAGAATATGATCTGGAAGGGAAATGCGTAAGCTTAGATATGTAATCATGGAGTCAAAACAAAAAAATAAGTTTTGTCGTAGCTACAAAGATATATAGTTACAAAGATATATAGAGACGTCGATATGGATCGTCCATGTCAAAGATGAAAACAAAATTTCAAACCGGTACCTATCAACTTTTCAAATATTGAACAAAACTTGTTATATAGATCAAACCATAATCTGTAG